TGGTGATCCTGGTGATGGGGCGGACCTCTCATGACGGCGCCGGTGTCTGACGCGGTGCTCTTGTTGCAGGCGGCGAGCGCATCTCAAGCGGGGCGTCCCTCGAGGAGGATCCTGGAGAGGTGTCCGTCGACGCGTGCCCCGAGCTGGACGAGCTGAAACAAGACGACGAGCAGCTAGGGCTGGTGGTGACGGCGTGCTTCTCGCTGCAGGACGAACAGTGCCCAGCGGAGGACGCGGCGAGCAGTGAGGGTGACCCTGGGGAAGGCGAGGTGCAGCCCGAGCAGCGCGACGAGGATGTGGCGCCTCCTCCCGGCGACGCAACCAGGCAGGGCGGCTTTACCGACCGGTGTGGAACCCACGACGCTCAGCCGGTGCAGGACGACCAGAAGGCCTCGCGGGTGCTGCGGAAGAAGCAGCTCGGCCGGAAGTACACCGGCAGCGGGAGCGGAAGTAAAAGAAGTACCAGTGGCGCTCTGCAGGCGAACTCGCGCGGGCGCACCGGCGGGGCGTTCAAATGCGAAGTCTGCGATAAGAATTTTGTATGGGCGAGTCAACTAAAGACGCATAAAATGTTCCATACTGGTGAAAGACCATTTAGCTGCGACCTTTGTCCAATGCGTTTTACTCTGAAAGACTCTCTTGTCGTTCACATGAGGACACACACTGGAGAAAAGCCATACAAGTGTGATGTGTGTAAAATGCGTTTTACTCAAAAGTACAGCCTTGTCAAGCACATGAGGACACACACTGGTGAAAAGCCTTTCAAATGTGACGTGTGTAAAATGCGTTTTACTGTGAAATGCCACCTTGTCAAGCACGTGAGGACGCACACTGGTGAAAAGCCATACACCTGTGATGTGTGTAGCAAGGCTTTTGGTCAAATGTCAAATCTCAAGAGACACAAAACAATTTGTACTTCAATTTAAATTTATTTATTGTTAAATTGTAAAACTTTGTAAAACTCTATCCGACAGTTTTCCAGCAATGATTGTTATTAGTACATTTTTTCTGTTCATTGTATTTCGAACATTACGAAATAAAAACAAGTGTCGATAGACGTCATGAACCCGGCGGCGCCTCCATTTTGTTCCTAGCTCGGTCACACCGGCTTGTATGTGGCAATCCTTGGAACTTGGCGACGCAGGTGTCTCACGCGGTGCTCTTGTTCCAGGTGGCGACCCTAGGCCCTCGCCCAGCAGCAGGACGCCCTCCGGGGAGGATCCTGGCGAGGCCACCGTATCGAGCTGAAGCAGGACGGTCGGCTGTACCTCACATGAGCTGCGTGAACAGAGTCCTGCTGGTGATCCGATCCATTGGCCTGCTAATGGTCCCGCGGGGCCAGCGCGAGGTGCTCATGCCGCTGGCAGACGTGTCGCGGCTTCGCAGCCTGAAAGCGGCACCACTCCGTGCTCGATATCATGCGCCACTCCGGGTGTAGGGGCGCCGCGATTTAAACGTTAATTCTGTGGGGGCGGTGTGGCGGGTAGTGCAAACCTCGCTTAGAACTAGAGAGTGGTTAAATTTAACCTTTTTGACGCTTTAAGCTGCCAGCTTCCATGTTGCAAGCCAAGTCACAGGAGTGACTCCGACGTTGCACGCGCATGCTGGTGGTCCTGGGGATGGGGCGGACCTCTGATGACGACAGCGGCGGTGTCTGACGCGGTGCTCTT